TCTTTCCGATAAGTCCGTAGGGTCTTTCCAAAAAGTAGTGAGGTTTTATAAAATTTAATTATTTTACATATAATATCAATTCAAATATAAATATCATTTAGTCGATAAAGATCAATCAAGAACAAATTGAATTTGAATGTAAATCATATTAAAATATAACCATACGAAAGAGAGAGAGAGAGAGAGAGAAAATCACGTTATAAATTAATCCGCACTGTATATACTTTTCTACTTGCTTATTTCGCTTATTCGCTTTTCTTATCTTACAATATTCTCTTATCTTATCCCTTACTTCTTCCTATCGTGTAAATGAATTTTATTGTAAAATCAGAATACGGTAACGAAAAAGGAGAAGAAGATAAACAGAAGATGGAAGAAGGAAGATTGGTGAGAAAAGTTTTACGACTAGTCTCTCTCATTCTCTTTCTTTCTTTCTCTTACTGAAAGTCTTGAGTTTTACGATCTCGTGGTTGCTCAGTAATCGTTTTACGACTCTTTTTCTCTCTCTTTCTCTTTTCATTCTGCCATCCCTTCACAGCATCCTCTTTTTACGACCACACTAATTTATATACCACGATTCGCTTCGGGAGATAGTATAAGAAAGCAAGGAAGGAAGGAAGGAAGAAAAGAAAAGAAAAGAAATGAAAAGAAAGGCAGAAAGAAAGAAAGAAAGAAACGAAAGGAAAGAAAAGATTCTCTTGAAGCTTCAAGAGAAGAAGAAGAAGAAGAAGAAGAAGTAGTAGTAGTAGTCTCTCTCGTATTTGCAAGGGTCTGCCAATCACCTGTCTTCTTTTTGTTCCAGAGTCTTCCTGGTTAGAGAGAGCAAAAGCAATCCTGGGGCCTACGTCTTGACTTACAAGTACAGCGACAAGGTCTTTCACGCTCAGATTCAGCCGGTAAGAGAATAAATACTTTCAACTGCACACACACACACACACACACACACGCACACATAGACTCCTACTACTTTGTCATCCATTTAACTGTATAAATATATCAACCCACTAATAATAACAACAATAAAATCAAAACGACGATGCTGATGAGTATATTATTGACGAATAATTGAAATAATTTCAAATGATATTTCAGGTATACGACGAAAGACGCAACTGTTGGTTGTACACATTGGACAAGGGTGCTACGAAATTTTACGATCTCCTACAATTGGTTGAATTTTACCAATTGAATTCGGGTTCTTTGCCAACTCGTCTAACCCATTACGTTCAAACCGGTGTACCAACGCCAATACCAAGGCCCGAAGATGGAGGTGCATCACCGTCACCTGCTGACGCCACTCAAAGATTCAGCGTTAAGACAGAATCAGCGAGTATTTGAGTATAGGAGAACCAGCGACCCGTTACTGTGAACGTCGAACATGTAGTACCATCATCAACAACTACAACTACTACTACTACTACTACTACAACTAACAGAATTGTTAACGTTCCTTCAGATATTGATGATAATGATAATAACGAGGAAAATCTTCTCGTTAATAACAACAATAATATTAGAAATAACAACAACAGAATAAATGTTTTAGCAGAACCAAGAAGGGCTACGTTAAATGGTACACCAACTATCATAACTGTTGTTGACGTAATAGAAAATCATCATCATCGATTGGAACGACGTCAACGTTACAATTTAAATGATGATAATAATGTGCACAAATTAAATGGTCATTTTCGACAACAACAACAACAACAACAACAACAACAACAACAACGAGAACAACAACAACAGGAAAGACGTTCGAATACACGATCGGGTTGCTGGAATCTTTGCCTTTGCAGTTACAAGTGGGACTTGTAACTCTCACTTTTATTATTATTAATATATTTAATTCATTGAATCTTCAAACAACCAAAAAAAAAATAATAATAATAAATAACGTCACTTTTGCAATCATCTCTACGACGATACGTTCCTACATCTCATCAATTTTGAGTAAAGAAGAGGAGGATTCATATTTTTTTTTTTTTTTTATTTCAAAAGAGGCTCGCCATTCAAATCTTTCAAACTTTTTGGAACGAGTTTGATTGATTACCTGTGTTTAATTAATTATATGACGTGTCGTCGTATATTATAATTCGGGGGATGAAGATTAACATGATTTTGTGTTTGTTCTTTTCTACGAACGATTATAACTCGATGTTTAAAAATAATCGATCTTTCGACCCTCCGTCAATCAAGAAGAAAGAAGAAAGAAGAAAGAAGAAAAGGAATCAATAATAAAACTGCGAATTTATTCGTCTCTATATAAATATATATATATATATTTATATATGTAATTAATTATGTCTTCTAACGAGAAACGAAGAAGATCGAAAAAAAAGAGACTACAGATGATGAACGTTCGTACGGATGATTACGACGAACAGGATTAACTTTGTTTATTTGTTTGTTTTTATTTTTAATCTTTTAATCTTTTAATCTTATATTGGAATTATTGTATGATTGTAATATTTTTTTTTTTTTATTATTTTCATTTTTTTTATCGTTTAAATAATTTTCTCTTCATTTCTAAATAATTCTCTAACCTTTCCAACTTCCTCAAAAAAGGAGTTTGTATGAGAAATTCATACAAAAAAAGAAGAGAAAAGAAAAGAAAAGAAAAGAAAAGAAGAGAAGAGAAGAGACAATTTTGTTTGATCAAATGAAAATTAAATGAAAAAAAAATATTATTTAGTATTTATTTAATCAAAGATTTTGAGAAGATTGATTATGTGCATAATGCATCAATGATTATTAATTATTCATTTCTTATAATTATCTCTCCATCTTTCTTTTTTTTTTTTTTTTTTGTAAGATTTAATATTCTTTTCTTTTCTTTTTTGTTGAATTTTATTTCCCTTCATTTTGTACTTTAAATTATTTTTCTTTTCTATTTCTCTCATTGCATTAACAAATATTTCATAATATTAATACAAATATAACGTGTGCATACATAATTAACATTTATCATTTGATTTCAAATAATTTTAACTGAGACGTGATTAAAAAAAAAAAAAAAAAACCAATTCACAATAAGAAGTTGATAAAAATTTCTTTAATTTACAATTAAATAATTAACGAAATATTTTATATAAAATAATCAATGAATATAATTGTTATAAATTTATTACACGTCTGAGTTAATTATTATTTTTTTGTTTTCAATTTTATCGAACAAAAAATCTGCAGTTTAATATGAACAATAACAATAACAACAACAACAACAACAATAACAACAAATAATTGTATTTTAATGAAGAGAAAAATAAGAATAACATTAAGAATAAAAATAAAGAGAAAAAGTAGAAGAAGATGAAGAGAAAAAAAAAATATATATATATATATATAAACGCGAATACGTGTGACACAAGTATTGCTCATACTTTACAACAACAACAAAAACAATAACATGAACTTACTTATAAGAGTAATTACACATACACATTTTCACATTTTTGAATATTTAAAAAGAAAAGAAATAACAAAGATAAATACACATACACATACACATACACACATACATTACACGCGATACACATACGGCGTGTCCGTTGGAATATTCGTTCTTCGAGACGTGGATTGAAAATGCTCGAGGAACGAACCAATCATATTCGACGATCATTATTGTTATATGCTTTTCGTTAAAATCAATCATTCGATTAGTTCATAATTTAACATTGAAAAAACATAATAATTAATCATTCGATTAGTTAATAATTTAACATTGAAAAAAACATAATAATTAATCATTCGATTAGTTAATAATTTAACATTGAAAACACAATAATTAATCATTCTTAATGATCTTTTAACATCAAACATTTATATAAATATATATATGTAAATTCACATTATTATTATTATTATTATTTTTATTATTATTATTATTATTGTTAAGATAATATTTTAAATTTGTCAATTAAAATTTCATTTTGTTTTTTTTTAATTTAAATTTATATAAATAATATTTTTCTTTTTTTCTTATCTTTTTATTATCAATTGAAATAATTTTGTTTGAGTCTTACAATTAATGCAACAACTAATTGAAATTATTGTTTTTTATTTTTTATTACGATCAATAAATGATTGTAAATTTCAAAATATTCTATATATGATGTATTCATAATACTAATAATAATAATAATAATTATAATAATAATAATAATAATAATAATAATTTTATGACAGAACATTTTTCTCGAGATCTCTGATGATATATTAAATTAATTTTATATATATATATATATATATGTATGTATAATTTATCTTAATTTATCAATCGCGAAAAGAATATATAAAGAAAGAAGAAAAAGTAATGAAAATGAAAATTGAAGTATTGTATTGTAAGAATATTTAAAAACAAAAACAAATTTGGAAAAAATTATGAACACGATAAACGTGAAAAAAATGTTTAGATCAAATACAAAGAAGAATAATCTAATTATTTGCGTTTTTTAAATAATATAAATATGCGTAATAATATAATAATTAATATAATAAAAATAATAAGAATAATTTCTCTCTCGAAAAAAAAAAAAAAACAGAGAAAAAAAAAGAAAGAAAGATTTTTTTTTGTTCGAAAATGCGAAGAAGCCGCTCAAAATTTTTGTTCCTTGAACAAAATTTTTTTGTTCGAAAATGCGAAGAATCTGCTCAAAAATTTTGTTCCTTGAACAGAATTTTTTGTTTATCTTCACAAATAAATAGGAAAAAAGAAAATAACAAGAAAACAACAAGAAAATACATGAAAAAAAATATTCAATTCGATTAATGCGTGATAATGAAAAATAAATAAAATTAAAAAAAAAAAAAATGATAAACTCGGACGACAAGCATATAAACTTTAATACGTAAGTGTCGAATATTACAAAAAAAAAAAAAGAAAAGAAAAAAAAAACAATTGTAACACTCTGACCGAATTTCATTTCGTGAATGGATAATTTGCGAGCGATTTCTTCCAAAGACATGATCTCATAACGTTTACATACAATTTTTGGACCGCATTTGCGTGATTGTTAATTAATTAAATATGCGAGGTCGGAGAAGAAGAAAATAAAAATTAAAAAAAAAAAAAATTTTAAATAAAAAAGGGTTCAATTAAAATAATTAAATTTACATTAAGAATGTTAAAAGGAATGATAGGAAGAAATAAGTAAAAAGAAACGAAAGAAAGAAAAGAAGAAAACGAGATTGGAACGAAAGTTGAATGAATCAAATGAATCAAATGAATAGAATGAATAAAGATGCATGTATGAATGTATGTATGTGTACATGAGAAAGAGAGAGAGAGAGAGAGAAGAAGAAGAAGAAAGAAAATGAAAATTACGAGTGGGTTGATTTTTGTATGTATTTGTGTGTATTTGTGTGTATTTTTGTGTATTTTTGTGTATGATTGGGGTGTATAAACATAAAAAGTGAATAAAATTTGATAATATTAACAGAACGCGAAGGAAAGAATGAGAAAGAATGAGAAATAATGAGAAAGAGAGATCAAAGAACAAAACTGAATCTATTTAAACATAGATATATCTATTACATATACATATATGTATATGAATATTCTAAATTATACGTTTTATATAATCAAGAATAAAAATGAAAGAAAGAAAGGAAAGAAAGGAAAGGAACATTTAAGTAATAAAAGATCTACGATCGACAAATAATAATAATAATATTAATAATACTAATAATAAATAATAATAATAATTAATAATATTAATAATAATTATAGTAATAATAATATTAATATTAATATTAATGGCTTAACGCAAATCATGGAAAAATCAGAATAATTCAATTAATTCAGAATAAATAAAATGTCTGACTAAACAATTATTTGATTTTTTCACGAATGAATGCGTTAAAAGTCATTTTTAGATATTAAGCATCGTAGGTGGGACAATGAAATAAAAAAAAAAAATAATCTGAAAGAGAAAGAGGAGCATATGTCTGTCTCTTTGTGTGTGTGTGTGTGTGTGTGTTTATTTGTGTGTGAAACAGAGAGAAAGAAAAAGTGAAAGAAAGAAAGAAAGAAAGAAAGAGAGAAGATTTTCTTCAGTATAAAGTGATATAAATAATAATAATAATAATAATAAATAAATAAATAAATAAATAAAAGGAATAAGAAGGAAACAAGAAAAAAGATTTAAACGTAAGAATAAAATTATAAAATAAAATAAAATGAAAGATGAAGGAGTAATGGTGGGTGTCTTACGCGAACGTATTAATTATTATTCATCAGAGAGAAAGAGAAAGAGAAAGAGAGAGAGAGAGAGAGAATGAGAGATGAGAATAACCGATCCTATTTGTACCTACTTTTTAATAATATTATATTTTTTCAACGATTATTTATTTAAAAACTATCGCCGTCGAACTGTGACACTCCGTACGTGTCTCGCGAAATAAATAAAAGTCATATATATATATATATACATAAATATATGATTAATGAGATAATGATGCTAATAATAATGATAATGATAATGATGATGATTTAACAACAAAGAGATATAAATAAAAAAAAGAGAGAGAGAGAGAGAGGGAAAACTAAAAAACAACAACAACAAAAGCAAAAAACACAAACAGAAAGAATGAATTAGAAAATAAAACCACGTGTGATTGATTAATGATGATAATGATAATGATAATGATAATGATAATGATAATGATGATGATGATGATGATGATGATACGAGAAAAGGACTCCGTTATATGAGACAAAAAAAAAACAACCAACAATTAACAATAAAAAAATAAAACAATATGAATAAAAGTGAAGGAATAAATACAATCGTTGGAAAAGGTTTGAAAGATAAGAAATAACAAACAAACAGAAAAAGGTAAAAATAATGAAGAAAATGATTAAAAAAACAAAATGGAAAATAAAAAATAAAAAAAATCAAGAAAACATTTAAAAAAAAAAGAAAAAATAAACAATGATAAACAAAGCAGACACACATGCATTAAGTTTTTTTTTTTTTTTTTTAGAATAGTAACGCTTAATAGAACTGATTAATAGAAAAAAAACAAAAAAAGAAAAAAAAAACAAAAAAAACAAATATAAAGGTAAATTCTCCTATCGTGAATGTGAGTGTGTATAATTCAACTTGAAACGTATACATTTAAAGATTGATTTTTAGTAGAAAAAAAAAAAACAAACAAAATCTTTCCGTCATAAAACGATAATTAAGATGATG